TCAGTTGGAGGACATCATAAACGCGAGATTCAATTGAGTCTCCCGTGAAAACCAAATTGGTTTGCAAATGGGTGTATTTCTCGTAAATACAGTCCCATTTTTCCTTCTACGTTTTCTCAGACCGTCAGCTAGAAGCTGGTCAACTGTTTCTGTTTTGTGTGGGTGTAAACAATGGTCCATATTCATGATCCCAACTGCTAGTTTGGATTTTTAGTTGAATGGCCAAATTTTGTTTTGCGCTATTATCTTTCCGGTACAACGAATGGCATTCCGCTCAAATGAAGCCTCTATGCTAATATGGTTTAGCCGGTAGATTTCGTGTGATCCTCAATAGAAAACATTGCAGGCAACTGGCTCAAAATGGTGTCAGATTTCGAGCATCTAATTTTACCGTTTGTGATGAGTTTTGTTTACCGGGAGCCGATAGACAAGGATGATGTTTAAAATTTGTTTTGTGTACAAGCTTAAATCTACTCGCCCGTTGCTTGTATCAAGCTGTTTGTTCACAACACTTATCAGGCTTGCTCCATTTTCGCGGCAATTCTAGCTTATTTTCGGCAAGTTGACCAGCATAGCTTTGCTTTTGTTGAATATTAATCGGTCGGAGAAACCCCTGTTTACTCAGTTGTATGCATTTGCGGTTTATTTAGTTGGCGGTGGGTGGTCAGTGAATAAGGGACTAAAGTCTCGGCTAGGGTGGAGGCAGTCTATCTCCACGTACAGGGGAACTATTAACACAGTAAAGCAACGATCAAAGTTGATATAACGTTTTGTGGCATTATTTTCAAGCACAATAATCTCTCCAGGAGATAACCAGACTAAATTCCGTCCGGATAATGGAGCAATCGCACAGGAGTAAACCAGAACAACCTAATTGACAGCAGAGGGACGTAACGCAATACTAAGGAGTTTGCTGAAGTTTCACCGGCAGCCCCTGACCGGTCTCGTTCTTCTTGGGGCTCATCAACTAGGCGTAGTCCTCGAGTTTCCGTCAACTTTAAGTTCTGACTGAACCGAAATCTCACAAAATCCTCCAACTACTCCCAAATGCACACGAATTCGGTTTTGACGCGGAACTCAGCTGAATCCAAAGAAATCTCTCGTCTGTAACAGTCTTCTTCAACTGAATGTGCTGCGCCGAGGTGCCTCATGTTTTAGTTGGGCGTTTGGACTTGATCGACTGAAACAAAGAGAGAAATTTGGTAGCCTTTGCTACGTGATGGTGCAACAATGGCTATGTTCAAACCTATGCAGTAGACTATCTCACTTTTGAGAAAAATGATGTACATTGCCACACCCCCTACAAGGGCGCTCCTGAGGAGAGCGTGCTTTTGATAAAAATGCTTATAGGCCCAGCTTTGAATTATTCGTTTCGAGGAGTAGACCACTCCTTTCGAGAATAGAGCAACTTGGCTACTCAGGAATGTGTGCTGTCCCACACGGTGATCTATGGCCTCGACTATACAGGTGGAGAGGAGTAATGTGTCCAATCGAAAACCATTAAATTGGACACAGTTGTGTCACCAGTGCCAAAGAACCAGTAGTAGGACCCATAATGCCACCACTGAAAACCAGTATGTCCCATCCTGTGGGATCCGTGGGCTGATTGCACATGCACAAATTGCATCAGTTTAGTCTAGTGGAATACCGCGCCTCACTTACGTACTTCGCGGTGAAGTGAAGTGCATTAGGCCTCACTTTGTTGTTCAGGTGGTTGTGGAACATCCCCAAGTAAACACTATTTAGGTTGCTTTGAAATGTACGGCTTTCTTCAAGATGAAGGTGCATGATGAGTATAACGATTGACGGATGTTTTGAGCCCAAGTCTGTAGGATTTGTATGTATATATGTATTCAAAAAACATATCAATGGCGGAGGCGCTTGTTAACCATGGCTGAGTGGTGCCATCCGCGGTTGACTAGTATAGCATTCCCCTCATTGCACTTAGTGCCTACATTAGAGAACTGCCAAAAACAGTGCTGCCGGAAGTTTGTGCCCCCACCCCCACCGAGTGAGGTCACATAAAAGAACGCCATTTGAGTCGCTATTCATGGATGTCGAAAACAACATGCATAAAACTTTGTGAGCGAATCCTTTTTGCCATAAAACATAACCTCCTACGGCTGTTCTGCTCCAAGACTAACCGAAACGATCAACTTCAAATGACCCCTTATCTAAGGTTGTTTGCTCGTCGCCCGGAGGTTGAAGTGATGGTTTCCGCCTGAGGGTGGCTTCTCATGGGGGGAATAGCTGCACTTGTAAGGTTTATTCAACCGGTCTGGTCAGGCCCAAGTACATCAGAACGATGAGTGCCGTTTATTGACCAAGTACTCTCCTTCAGCATAAAGCAATTTGTACCTGGTGTATTCACGAATCTGGAGTGATCGCAAGCTTCTATTTTGTCGAACCGAGCACCGAAAGCCGGCTGTTTGCAATTAACTTCCATCTTAGAAGTCGTCACTCCAGGAGCCAGTCCATAGCTGTTAACCGTGTGATGCGGGTCCCGCGAGTGAAGGGCGAGTGGCGTTATATTCTGAATGAGTACGAGTTTGTCATACTGTTGATCAGCCACTCATGGCCGGTTCAGTGTTAAAACTAATAAGTACGAGGTCACAGGCTCGAGACCTTCGAGGTTGGAACTTCCAGCCTAATGGTAGCTTTTTTCCGTCGGCTCCATGGTTGCTACTGTTACATTCTGACCTCTTCATCTGATAGCTGGTTCCGTTGCGTTGTCCGACAAAGTTGGCGATCTTTTGCTTGTGGAGTAAGTCTGTCGGATCTAATCATATTTGCAGTCGACTGGTTTTATGAGGAATTACC